GGACTGCCTTTGCTGCATCCCAAAGACTTTGAACAGTTGTGTTTTCATTTTCATTTATTTCCATGAATTTTTAAAATTCTTCTTTAATTTCCTGGTTGACCCATTCATTCTTCAGTAGGATGCTCTTTAGCCTCCATGTATTTGAGTTCTTTCCGACTTTCCTCTTGTGATGAGTTCTAGTTTCAAAGCATTGTGGTCCGAAAATATTCAGGAATGATCCAAATATTTTGGTACCAGTTGACACCTGATTTGTGACCTAGGATGTGATCTATTCTGGAGAATGTTCCATGGGCACTAGAGAAGAATGTGTATTCCGTTGCTTTGGGATGGAATGTTCTGAATATATCTGTGAAGTCCATTTGGTCCAGTGTGTCATTTAAAGTCTTTATATCCTTGTTGATCTTTTGCTTAGATGATCTGTCCATTGCAGTCAGGGGTTGTTAAAGTCCCCCGCTATTATTGTATTGTTGTCAATGTGTTTCTTTGCTTTTGTTATTAATTGGCTTATATAATTGGCTGCTCCCATGTTAGGGGCATAGATATTTACAATTGTTAGATCTTGTTGGATAGATGCTTTAAGTAGGATATAGTGTCCTTCCTCATCCCTTATTACAGTCTTTGGTTTAAAATCTAATTTGTCTGATATAAGGATTGCCACCTCAGCTTTCTTTTGGTGTCCATTAGCATGGTAAATGGTTTTCCACCCCCTCACTTTCAATCTGGAGGTGTCTTTGGGTCTAAAATGAATCTCTTGCAGACAGCATATCAATGGGTCTTGTGTCTTTTGACTGGGGCATTTAGCCCATTTACATTCAGGGTAACTATTGAAAGATATGAATTTAGTGCCATTGTATTGCCTGTAAGGTGACTGTTACTGTATATTCTCTGTGTTCCTTTCTGGTCTATGGTACTTTTAGCCTCTCTCTTTGCTTAGAGGACCCCTCTCAATATTTCTTGTAGGGCTGGCTTTGTGTTTACAAATTCCTTTAGTTTTTGTTTGTCCTGGAAGCTTTTTCTCTCTCCTTCTATTTTCAATGACAGCCTAGCTGGATACAGTATTCTTGACTGCATATTTTTCTCATTAAGTGCTCTGAATATATCATGCCCATCCTTTCTGGCCTGCCAGGTCTCTGTGGATAGGTCCGTTGCCAATCTAATGTTTCTACCATTGTAGGTTACAGATCTCTTGTCCCAAGCTGCTTTCAGGATTTTCTCTTTGTCTCTGAGACTCGTACGTTTTACTATTAGATGTTGGGGTGTTGACCTATTTTTACTGATTTTGAGAGGGGTTCTCTGTGCCTCCTGGATTTTGATGCCTGTTTCCTTCCCCAAATTAGGGAAGTTCTCTGCTATAATTTGCTCCAATATACCTTCTGCCCCTCTCTCTCTTTCTTCTTCTTCTGGGATCCCAATTATTCTAATATTGTTTTGTCTTATGGTATCACTTATCTCTCAAATTCTGCCTTCATGATCCGGTAGTTGTTTATCTCTCTTATTCTCAGCCTCTTTATTTTCCATCATTTGGTTTTCTATATCACTAATTCTCTCTTCTGCTTCATTTATCCTAGCAGTTAGAGTCTCCATTTTTTATTGCACCTCATTAATAGCCTTTTTAATTTCAACTTGGTTAGATTTCAGTTCTTTTATTTCTCCAGAAAGGGTTTCTCTAATATCTTCCATGTTTTCAAGCCCAGCTGGTATTTTTAAAATCGTCATTCTGAACTCTAGTTCTGACATCTTACTAATGTCCGTATTGGTTAGGTCCCTGTCAGTCGGTACTTCCCCTTGTTCTTTTTGTTGAGGTGATTTTTTCCTTCTTGTCATTTTGTCCAGAGGACAATAGATGAATGAGAGAACAAAATGCTAACAGGGTAACAATGACCCCAGAAAAATATACACTAAACAAATCAGAAGAGACCTGAAGCCAGGGGAAAAGAAAGGGAAAGAAAGAAAGAAAAAGAAAAAAGGTTAAAAAAAAAAAGAATATGATCAAATATGATCAGGCTGGTGCATAGATCAGTGCCCCACACTAGATTTTGGGTGTATTTTCGTCTGTTAGAACAAAGTACCTCCTAAAGTTTTAAAGAAAGAAAAACTTATATATGTACAAAAATAAGGGTAAATACGATGAAGGGATGGAATATGACTATAAAGATAAAAAGTATAAAAGATTTTATAAAAGAAATTAATAAGTTGGTTTGAAAAAGAAAGAAAAGGAATTTAAAAAAAGGGGGGGGGAGAGAATGTGATCAGGCAGGAGACCAGAACAAAGCCATACACTAGAGATTTAGGGTATATTTTGGTCTGTTAGAAAAAATTGTATCCCAAAATTTTAAAGAGAGAACAACTTACCTATATACCAAAAATAAGGTTAACTATGATGAAGGGATAGAATATGACTCTAAAAATGAAAAATAAAAAAGATTTTTAAAAAAGGGATTGATAAGATATTGGTTGAAAAAGGGAAAAAGGAAAATTAAAGAAAATTAAAAAAGTTAACTTTGAAGGACTAAAGAATCATGGGAAAAAAGCCATGGATTCTATGTGCAGTATTCCTCTACTGCTGGAGTTCTGCCATTCTCATTGATTGGTAAACTAGATCTTCGCTGGCTGTTCTTGCTGATCTTCTGGGGGAGGGGCCTGTTGCCATGGTTCCCAAATGTCTTTGCTGGAGGCAGAATTGTCCCTCCCTTGCCAGTCTGGGCTAAGTAATCTGCTTGGGTTTGCTCTCGGGAGCTTCTGTTCCCTGCAAGCTTTCCGTACAGCTTTGGAGGACGAGAGTGAAAATGGCAGCCTCCCAATCTCCGCCTGGAGGAGCCAAAACTTGGCCCCACTCTTCAGTGAGCCCCAGAGAAAAGCAGTCACTCCCATCTCCCTGGTCTCTGGCCGCACCCCGTGCTCACCTGGCCTGTGACTGAGAGTTTCTGTCTCTGGCACACGACCCCGTGTGGAGTCTCCAAACCAAGCAGATCCCTGCGGCCCACTTCTGCGCCGCTCCTCCCAGGGGAGGAGGGAGAGTCTCCCCGGATCTGCCGCTTGTTGGGTCCCTCCTGGAGGAGCAATGGCCCGACTGTGTCGCGAATCACAGTTTATGGCAACCCCGAGCTGAGAGCCCACTCCTTGGCTCTGTGTCTGCAGCTGGCTTCCCTGCTCCGATACCTGGGCACTCTGCCGCACTCAGGCACCCCCGTCTTTCTGTGACCCCGAGGGTCCTGAGACCACACTGTCCCGTGAAGTTTCCACCCCCCGCTTAGCCACTGGAGCGACGTCCCTCAGCGGAGCCGACTTCTAAAAGTTCCAACTTTGTGCTCCACTGCTCTATCACTTCCTGGTAGCAACTGACGGAGGTCCCCTCCCTGCTGTCTATCCTCCCAAATATCGCCTGGATTCACTTCTCCGCATGTCCTACCTTCCAGAAAGTGATCACTTTTTTCAGAGAGTTGCTGCTGTTCTTTTCTTCAATCTCCTATTGAGTTTGTAGGTGTTCAGAATGGTCTGATCCCTATCTAGCTGAATTCCTGGGACCAGAACGAAATTTAGGTCTCCTACTCCTCTGCCATCTTGCTCCTCCCCCCCAATTTTATTTTTATTTATTTATTTTTATTATCTTCAGTTAGTGGTGGCTCTAATAACATCATTAGTTTTTGATGTAGTGTTCAATGATTCATTAGTTGACAATAACACCCAGTGCTCATCACCACAAGTGCCCTCCTTAATACCTATAACCAGGTTACTCCATCCCTTCAACCCCCTTCCCCTCTAAAACCCTGTTTGTTTCCCTAGAGTCCAGAGTCTCTCATGGTTTGTCTCCCTCTCTGTTTTCCCCTTCAGTTTCCCCTCCCTTCCCCTGTGGTTTTCCATGCTGTTCCTTATGTTCCACATATGAGTGAGACCATAGGTTTTAAAAGATCCAAGTTAAGACCTTCATTCAATAACATGGATCACTTTCCAAAAATTTTTCAGGGATATTAGTATTAAATTTTGCCATCTCACAGTTACACATTATCAAGCAAAAATTTGGTATCCTTACATAACTATGGAATTTACTAGGCAAAGTTTCCTGGAAAACAGTAGTGGCAGATGCATCTCAGCCCTCACTTCCAGAGGAATCCATTTAAATTCATGGAGGTGGTACCCAATTTCTAAACAAATTATGTCCAAATGCTCATTTGTACATCTTTTTGGATCCAAGGGCACATTTTCTCAAATAATTGTGTTTGCCCTGATACATTGAAGGATTAAGGAAGAATTGGACATTAAAAAGCAAAATTAATTTTATCCTTTCTAGAAATTCCTTTCTCTGCTTCTTAGTTTGAAATTTGTAATGTTTCAGATCTCTGTTTATGTTGCAGATTATGTACAATGATCTTATGTAAGTTATTTCTGATTTGAAATCTTGTAATTTCATGGATTTTTTGTCCCACATTAGGGATTGCAGGGATTTCTAGCACCTTAGTTTAAAGCTTTTTTTTCCTGTTGGATTTGTTAAAAAAAAAAAAAAGTGGGAGGATTCTGTAATCTAATAGTTACATATTCTGGGAGAACGATATTTGACAGATTCTTATTCCAAATGTTTTTAAAAAGTGAAGAATGTCTTTCTAATTAGAATATCTCCCTCCTATTTCTTATTATTAGCTTTTAATCTATGATCCTCTGATATCAGGTTTTGGTTCTTCTAAAGTGGAGAGAAGTTATATAATTCCCACTTCTAAACAGTAAATGGATGACCTTTCAGAAAAAAATCACAAACGAGGTAATATCACTACAAATTTTACCTCTTGTGAATTTTGATTCCATCTTTTTTTTTCCCCCTAAGTTGATTGCTGGTAAGTCAGTGGCAAAGGCAGAGGGCATTTACTTCCTCTAAAAGTTCCATGATTTTTAATATTCATAAAATGACAGATTTTTAAATTTACTTTAACTTGAAAACCGTATAATTGGAAAAGGACAATTAACCATGACAACATATCTTTTGGTTACTACTTCATTTTTCAACTTACAATTTCCATATTAAATTTAGAATCAGGCACACAATGGGGACTATGAAAAAACCCAGCCAGAAGTGTGGACAAACCAGGACCATATTGACCTGCAAATAAACAGAAATAAAGAATTTTTAAATAGGAATCTTTTAGTTTGTCAGTATTGGGTAGAAAGTGCAAATTTCAGTTTCCCTTCTCCTCCACAAAAACCTGGAGATGCAGGTATGGATGCAGTCAAAGAGTCTAGAACTACTAAACCAATGTGAGTACATAAAGCCTAAATATAGTATTAGCTAGCTTAATTTAATAGTATATTCTATAAACAACCAACTAAATATTTTGATCAAATAAGTCATATCTCAGGAATGCAAGAGTATTACCTAGCAATATTCCCTAGCAATACAACTTTAACTTCCAGACATTGTGTGTAAGGCAATTCTGCCATTATAGTCCCCTGAAAAAATTCACTCTTCTCTCTGCCTGACAAATTGGTAACTAACAGATCACTTTAATTCAATAAGGACTGTACTGACTTGAGACTGGGTAAGGCTCTGTACTATTTATATATTTTTAATTTTCTGTATATTCTAATATTTCAACATCTTAAAAAACCTTTCTATCTGGAGACTGCCCCTCCCAGGGCTAGTCTGTTCTTAGAGATAGTGAGATCTTAACTGGGAGGATGCTTTTGATCTGCAAACTCAAGGGCTAAATCCACAGCCCTATCTCCTCTAACTGGCCCATACACCCCAGGAGGCAATATTCCTTTGCCATAATCATCCCAGAACCAGGGACCAGGCAACTAGAAACCACCTCTAGCCCAAATCCTGCAAAAATCACTCAAACTAGCCATTCCTGGGTTGTTTACCCTGCTCTGCCTTGCTTTTCTGATGGAAACCCCAATAAAGGCAAGGCCTAAGTGCTCCCCAGCTCCTGTGTTCTGCCTCCTGACCACCCTGCTATCTTTCCCTTGTGGCCCTATGTGGCATTCTGTGCTTTATCTTTAGGAACTGTGAAAATGATAAATTTTGTTAAAATGGCAATAGTAAGTCCTTACCTATCTGTAATTACTTCAAATGTAAATGGATTAAATTCTCCAATCAAAAGACCCAGAGTGACTGAATGGATAAAAAAATAAGATCCAGGTGTGCCTGGGTGGCTCGGTCAGCTAAGCATCTGCCTTCAGCTCAAGTCATGATCCAGGGTCCCGGGAACAAGCCCTGCACTGGGCTCTCTGTTCAGTGGGGAATCTGTTTCTCCCTCTGCCCCTCCCCACCCCCAGCTTATGCATGTTCTCTCAAATAAATAAAATCTAAAAACAAAAATAGGATCTAACAGTATGCTGCTGATAAGAGACTCACTTCAGCTTTAAGGACACTTAGGCACAAAGTAAAGTTATTGAAAAATATATTACAAGTAAATGGTAACCAAAAGAGAGCAAGAGTGACTATACATATTAGCTAAAATGACATTCAGGCCAAATTGGTCATAAGAGACAAAGAAGGTCACTGTATAGTATGAGGGTCAATTCATTAAGAGGATATAAGAATTGTAAATTTTTTTGCACCTAACATTGGTGCACCTAAATATTTAAACCAGATACTAACAAAACTGAAGGGGCAAAGTCAGAGCAATATAATAATAGTAGGAATTCAATACTTCACTTTCAACAATGGCTAGATCATTTGGACGGAAAATTCAATAAGGAAACAGCTTACCTGAATAACACAATAGACAAGATGGACCTTATAGACACATACAGAACATTTGATCCAACAGCACAAGAATACACATTCCTTTCCAGTGCACATGGAACACTCTACAGGATAGATCACATCTTGGGCCACAAAGCAAAAAGACAACCTACTGAATGGGAGATATTTGCAAATCATATATCCAATCAGAAATTAAAATCCAAAATACATAAAGAACTTATAGAAGTCAACACCAAAAAAAAGAAAAGAAACAAATATTTCAACTAAAAATTGGCAGAGGACCCAAACAGACATTTTTCTAAGGAAGATTTGGAGACAGTCAATAGACACATGAAAGGATGCCCAACATCCCTAATCATCAGAGAAATGGCAGGTCAAAACCACACCTTATACCTGTCAGAATGGCTAGAATTAAAACAAAAAATAACAAATGTTGGTGAGGATGTGGAGAAAAAGGAATCCTCATGCACTGTCAGGAATGTAAATTGGTGCAAGCCACTGTGGAAAACAGTATGGAGGTCCTTCAAAAATTAAAAAAGAAACACTATATGATCCAGTAATTCCACTAATGGAATGAATAAGTCATGGTATTAAAGGTATACCACAGTGAATATAGTCAAGGATATCATAATAGCATTGTATGGTGATAGATGGTAGTTACACTTGGAAGTGAGCATAGCATAACATATAGAGTTATTGAATCACTATGTTATACACTTGAAATTAATATAACACTGTAGGTTAATTATACTTTAATTAAAAAACAAAGCTCAACAAAAATAGTTGAGAAACAGAAAAGGAAATTGGAAAGTATCTTTAGACAAACAAAAGTGAGAACACAATGTATCAAAATTGGGGTATGATAAAAGCAATTTTAAGAAAGAAGTTTATAGCAATAAATGTTTATATCAAGAAAAAAGAGATCTCAAACAATCTAACTTAACAACTTAAGGAACTAGAAAAACAAGAACAACTAAGCCCACAGCCAAAAGGAAGGCAATAATAAATACCAGAGCAGAAATAAATGTAACAGTATTCTAGGATGATGGCAGAATAAGCAGCAATGGGGATCTGTCTTCCCCCTAGACAACAAAACTGCACTCCTAGAATGTGTCTGTTTTTGGACTCTGAAATCCGTTGAAGGCTGGCATATTCCAGGGGGTGACTTGCATGGTAAATTGTGTTTAGCTTTGGTCAATTTCAGCTCTTAGCACTACCCAGTAGTAGCAGCTACCCATCATATACTCCCAGTCACATATTTCTGGAGCATCTTGCATACAGGTTAGGGGAAGCTGGCTGGGGGAAAGGAAGCTGTTATCCAAATATTGGAGGTCTTTGATCACTGATTGCTGCTTCTGATCACAGAGGTGCAAAGAGGCAGACAGCAAGTTTTGTACATCCCTGCATTGTTCCAAGCCCCTCCCCTCTGGCTGAAGTGACTTCAGAGGGCCTTAAAGCACCAGAACTCTTTTTCCACTCCATTTTTTTCATTTTTCCCCTTTTAGGAGCCAGACATATTTAAAACTAGGACATTCAAAAATAGCTATATATACAAGTAAAATTAAAAAGTGACCACTTATGCCCAGGGAGAAGTCTAGAAAAGACCTAAGAGGACAGTAAATGTATGCCTCAAGTTGATCCTCAGCACAGAGGCAGCCTACAACAAACAAACAAAAATAACAAAAAGCAGCAAAACTTGGGGAGAAGGGAAAATTTTATTTCCAGAGTTACCACATTATTAGATTTAAATTTTCAGTGTTCAACAAAAAATTCATAAGACATACAAAGAAATAGGAAAGTGTGGCCCATTCAAAAGAAAAAATAACCTTTAAAAATAAATAAATAAATAAATTAGTCAATTTTAGTTTATTTTTGTGTATGGTGTAAAAAGTGGTCCAGTTTCATTCTTTTGCATGTAGCCATCCAATTTTCCCAACAACATTTGTTGAAGTGAGTGTCTTTTTTCCCATGGCATATTCTTGCCTCCTTTGTTGAAGATTAATAATTGACCAGGTAATCATGAGTTTATTTCTGGGTTCTCTATTCTGTTCCATTGATATATGTGTCTATTTTTGTGCCAGTACCGTACTGCTTTGATTACTATAGATTTGTAGTATCTTGAAATCTGGGATTGTGATACTTCTGGGTTTGTTCTTCTTTTTCTTGAGAGAGAGACAGACAGAGAGCTGGGGGGGGAGGGAGAGGGAGTGAGAAAATCTTAAGCAGGTTCCACAACCAAGTGTGGAGCCCGACATGGGGCTTGATTTCACAACTGTGAGATCATGACCTGAGATGAAATCAAGAGCCAGACGCTTAACGAACTGAGCCACCCAGGTAGCCCTGTTCTTCTTTTTCAATATTGCTTTGGCTATTCAGAGTCTTTCCTGGTTCCATACAAATTTTAGGATTATTTGTTGTAGTTCTGTGAAAAATACTGTTGGTATTTTGTTAGGGATTGCACTAAATGTGCTGATTGTTTTGGGTGATACATTTTAACAGTATGTGTTCTCCCAATCCATGAGCACGGAATATCTTCCCATTTGTTTGTCATCTTCAATTTCTTTCATCAATGTTATATAGTTTTCAGAGTACAGACCTGTCACCTCCTTGGTTAAGTTTATTCCTGGGTATTATTTTTGGTGCAATTGTAAGTGGATTGTTTTCTTAATTTCTCTTTCTGCTACTTCATTATTAGCATATAGAAATGCAACTGATTTCTGTATATTAATTTTGTATCCTGTGACCTTACTGAATTCATTTACCTGTTCCAGTAGTTTTTTTTGGTGGAGTCCTCAGGGTATTCTGTATATAGTATCATGTCATTTGCAAATAGTGACAGTTTTACTTCTTCCTTACCAATTTGTGTGTCTTTTATTTTTCTTGTCTGATTGCTGTGGCTAGGGCTTCCAGTACTATGTTGAATAGAAGTGGTGAGAGTGGATATGCTTGTCTTATTCCTGATCTTAGGGAAAAAGCTCTATTTTTCACTAAAATTCTCAATTTTAATGCAGAATTTATGACAATATAAATATTCTCTCCTAAAATAGGAACAAAATGAGCTTATCACCATTCCCTTACTACAGTACTTACTTCACCACATTTATGAATTAGGGCTCATTTAAATATTATTTAAAGAAGCTTATCAAGGCATGATTGGCTTACAATATACTGAACATAAAATTTGACAGACATGTCAAATTAAAGTGAACAATTTGACATGTTTGACATACATTATGGTAATAAGATCATTACCACAATCAAGAATATATCTAGCACCCCAGGAGTCTCCTTATCCTGCAATGTGAGCATTCCTTCCTGCCCTTCCCTGCCACATACCACCCAGCACCCTGTCTCCAGTTAACCACTGGTCTGCTTTCTGCCACTATAAATTTGTTGGGAATTTTTATAAACAGATCCATACAGTTTGCAAACTTTTTGGCCTGGTTTATTTCTTTTAACATAATTATTTTGAGAGCCATCCATGTCGTTGTATGGGTCAATAGTTTTTTTGTTTCCTTTTTATTGCTGAATAATAGTCTATTGTATGGTGATTTGTCTTTTCATTCACCTGTCCAATGCACTTTTGGGTTGTTTCTAGTTTTGGCCATTGCAAACAAAGTTGCTATGAATATTCATGTTCAAGTCTTTGTGTGGACATATGCCTTCACAGGGAGTGGAATGACAGGGTCTTATGTACATGTACGTTACACCTTTATGAAACTGCCGAACTGCTTTCCAAATCAGTTGTACCATTTTACATTCTTATGAGCAGCATATGAGAGTTGCGATTGCTCCACATCCTCAGCAACATTTGGTGTTGACATTTTTATAATTTTAGCCATGCTAATAGTTGCGTGTTGTTATCTCATTTTGGTTTTAATTTGTATTTACCTCATAACTAATGATGTTGAGCATCTTTTCATTTGCTTTTTATTCCTATATATTCTTTGGTGAAGTATCTATTTGAATATTTTGCCCATTGTATAATTTGGTCATTTTATCTTTATTATTTACTTTCTTCTTCTCAGTTGGGTTTCATTTGTCCTTTTTCTAGTTCCTTAATGTGGAAGCTAGGGCTGTTTATTTGAAAACATTCTTTTTTACAGATATAGTGCTAAAAATTTCCCTCTAAGTACATCAGCTGCATCTTATAAATTTTGATACATCATGTTTTCATTTTCATTTAGTTCATAATGTCCAATTTCCTCTCTGACATATAAATGAAGTATGGCAATTGCCCTTAACTCCTGGACTGACTTTTAAATTTTTTAAAGGATTTTCTTTATTTGAAAGAGAGAGGGAGAGTGCACGCAGAAGCAGGGGAAGCAACAGGCAGAGGAAGAGGAAGAAGCAGGCTCCCTGCTGAGCAGGGAGCCCAACATGGGGCTTGATCTCAGGACCCTGGGATCATAACCTGAGCTGAAGGCAGATGCTTAACTGCCTGAACCACCCAGTCACCCCTGGACTGACTTTTAAGCTGTGCATGAGTATATTGAGACTTTCAGAGACTCAGCAGAAAACAGATAGCAGGTTGAAAAACCAAGCAAGATTTGGTGCCCACCCAATGTTGGGGAGATAGAGATTGTAGTCTAAATCTTGTCAAGTGGGAATGCTCTTGGTAAATATCCAGTCTTCTTGAGATCCCAGAAAAAGCCATGCCCTAGAACTAAATGCCTCAAATTAGAAGAAAGTACTACACCCTGGAATAAGGCCATGATAGTTAAGGGCAAAACCAAGCTTCAAACTACCCTTGGCCCTATCAAAGTCTTTCCCTGGTTCTGTGCCTACGCCTCTCACTTCTCTATGGCTATGTCTTCTTGAGGGTTTTGTCCCTCAAGTTACAGGCATTTCAGCAGCCTGAAACTCTGAATTCTACCTCCTCCTCCCAGTAAGATCACTGCATTAACTTTGGGCTCCTTTTCTTGTACTGCAAGTTGAGAAATACTCATAGGGAAGATGCCAAGATAAGGAAGGGAAAGGCTTCCCTTCATTCAAGAATCATATCCTCAAGTATTACCTCTGTTGGTTTCTAGCCAATGTCTTCAAATAATTCTTATTTGAAGAAATATTCTAGTTTTTAGAGTTGTTTTTGTCAGGATTTTCCAATACTGGACACTTAGTCGTGGCTGAAACAGGAAGTCTCTTAAAATTCTTATTTCCTGAGAATTGGGCTGACACAGGCCAGGGGTACAAGGATCATCTCTTATTTCCACAGAGAAAGACAGTATGACAGATAGGCAAACAGACAGGGATTGAACTGGGCAACTCTGGACCTGCGTTTCCCTAGCTGGTAACTGACTGACTTTGGACCAAGGTTATTTCTAGTCCTACAATCATGTGATTCTGTGATTCATATCTAAGCATCACAGGCCTAATCCTCCATTATAAGTATAAACAAAGTAGAATTTAGAAATATGTAAAAAATTGTAAAAGTCTAAAAACTATATCACTTCTGAGGTTTGATATAAGCAAAGTAACAGTTTCATGAAACTTTAAAATATTTAGAAGCTGGAGCTTCTGGAGCTCCAAGGAATGTGAATTCTGGTTAAACATTTCAAATAAAAATGTTTTCATGGGTGCCTGGGTGGCTCAGTCAGTTAAGCGTCTGCCTTTGGCTCAGGTTATGATCCCAGGGTCCTGGGAATGAGTCCTGCTTTGGGCGGGGCCTGCTTCTCTCTCTCCCTCTGCCTGCCGCTCTGCCTACTTGTGCTCTCTATCTCTCTGTCAAACAAACAAATAAAATCTTAAAATGTTTTCTTATTTGTCATGTGTCCTTTCCAAGTACCAAATAGCACATAGCACATTACATAAAAAATATAATTACAGTATTAGCTATTTTGGATGATCCTGAAGTGATTATAGCTTTTATCAGTTATGCACAAAAGATAAAAAGTTTGGAAACCATGGTTAACATATATAGTTTGAGGTAATGAGATTTTAGATAAAATAATACTTAAAACATCAACCAGAATTTAGCTGGATCACCAACTATTTCTAATTGCGTTGATTTTTTTCTTCTCTTTCCAAATCACTCTGAGAGCAGATAACATAAGCTTTTACTATTAACAAACATAAGTTTTCAAAAGGGATGTAAAGTATACTCACCACTGACAATTAATAAAACTAACCTGTCCTCTCATTTCAGGAGCAATAGGAATGGTGGGCCATACGAAAGAGTAAATTGCCAAAAACACCAGCCATATAAGTATGCTTCCCCAAATGGCCAAATGACTAAACTGCAGAAAGAAAAATATTACAGAAACACTTCAAGCTTTTCCATTTAAAAGAAAAAAATAACTATCAACTGACAAAATCATTTGTCTAGGCCATATGTATTCAGATGAAGAAAATTATAATCTTTTGATTTCTTGATACTTGAGACTTCCTTTCTAACATATTTTGCTGTGGATTCAAGGAGCCATTGTTTAAAGTATCTAAAACAACTGTACCTTGTCACCTAAGCCAAGTGATATTTAATGTCTTCAGTGAAACTGTCAACTCTCAATCAGAATTGGTTCATACAATTGATAGGTTATTCAATGAGACTTCTGCTTCTGCCCACTTATTAAAACAAAGATCTCTTCAGAAAAAAAAGTTTGAACAGAAATCATTAAGAGGGCTAAAAATTTGACCCTATCGTATCTGTTCTGCATGAATAATTCTGGGACAATGGCAGAAGTTGTGACTCTTAGTTTGAAACTGGAAGGTTTTCTGTGCATATCAAGTGTGTATATCATTCAGATTGAGGGTGTTGGCTGAAGGATCACTGTCTGTGCCTGGGGCTGGGAACTGTGACAAATTCTTAATGGTTAATGCTAAGGAGGTAGGTCCTTCTGTTGAACTGATCTGTTGCCTTGTACGATTTGTGTTAGCAGAGGAATCATAAGGAAAATGAATAGGAGACCTCTGTTCTAAACCTGGCTGTGCTGGGCACCTCAGAGTTACCATCTGTGTATAAATCAGTGATTTGAGAGACAAGATGATTTCTTAAGAGCTCAAGTGCTCTCATCCTATTAGGTACTGCTCATTACTTAATCCTATCTGAAAAACAAAAATGAGGAAAAAAACCCGATCTGCTATTTTCTCAGAGTATTTATTTTTACTTCTTTATGAGTCATTTTCAAAGGCAGTTTTTTAGACTCTTTAGAAATAATCTCTTAATCATGGAACACTACATCAAAAACTAATGATGTAATGTATGGTGATTAACATAACATAATAATAAAAAAAGAATCTCTTAGAGAATTTCTCTCTCATTAAATAGAACTGGTCTCCTGAGGGCTCTTTCTTGTGATCATGCAGGAGATGATGGAGAAGAGAATCAGCTCAAGACTGTGAGCTTTAAATTTTTCAAGCACTTCAGTGTATTTTCATGTAACCATTCCCTTATTGTTGGCATTAACACATGGGCTGCAATGCAAGGCATTTTTTGCGGCTTAAAAAGAATTTTCAGGTCGGTTTCCATCAGGACCATCACCTTGGGGGCAGCAGCAAGCCACCATTGCTGCTCTGAGATATATTTTGTTATCTCTCTCTGCCCTGGCTCATTCTCTGAACTAAACAGTGGCTGCCAGCACTCTTCTCCAGTGAAGAAGTACGGGCTCCCTCCTCGACCTTCCCCATGGGGTAGAGTAGCCTATGACCAAAATTGAAAACCAGTCCCTTTTCTTTCCTGCCCCAGTTCCCAGGTTCCTTCCTAACCAGCATGTGAGCTGGAGGGCAGGAGCCTGGTAGCTCATAGGCCAGAAGAGTTTTGTTAAGTCTGTTTTGGCCTTAAAATACTACCTTATTCATAAATGAGATTCACCATATGCAGATTGTGTAGGTGATCATGGATCAAACACTCTTACCGAAGAGAATTTAACAATAATTAAAAGGAGGAATAGAAAATCATCGTTTGTGTTACCTTAAGGCAGTATAATACACACAACTGGTGTGTCTTATGTATTGCTAATAAAATGTTTTTGTTCAGAATGCTTCAGTCCCAACATTGTGTTGATGTTGCATTAGGGAGAGGGACAGTAAGAACTCTATACATTGGAGAAGAAATACACGATATGCTACGTAATCTAAGCTCTCCAAAGGTGACAGGCTGATAAAAATTCATTTTGTCTCATAAACTTTTGAGTACAACTTGGAAAACAACTTATTTTTATGGGTATATGTGTGTATATGTACTTACATACAGATTCACTTAAATTATTCAGCAGTTCATAAAAACATTCTACATATCAGAAGTTCTACTTTTAATAGTATCCTAGGGAAATTATTACTCATGTCTGTAAGTACACGCATATTTGTGTTCATAACAGTACTGATTATATATTATTTATAGTAACAGAAATTAAAACAATTATTCTAAAAATAATGTAAATAATAAGCATCCAGGTGATACAATATTATATAGTGAGATATAAATATTAAAGATATAGAAAAATGTTAAAGATCTAGTATTAAGTGAAAAAAGCAAATTACAAAATATTAGGTACCTTAGAATTCTCTTTTTATGAAAAGAAAACCAAGCCAAACCAAGCACATGTAAAACAAAGGCTGAAAGAATAGAACAAAAACTAAAATGTCCATGTCACTGATACAGAAAGGTATGGGTAATTTGTATTTCTTTCTTTTTCTGTTTTTGCTAAATTTTCCACTATCATTCTGTTCCTTGATAATAACAATGAATTAAGGATCTCATGTAATGATAATGTAAGAATCTCTAATGTCATGATAAATTGAATCTATTTCTAAGATGTAAGGCAGGGAAATGAATATTTTAAAGACATTAGATTGCTAATATGCCACCATCCAGTTTAAATCACTTGACTATGCAAAACAAAAGAAGGTAAAATATGAAGACCAGGAAAGAAAATGCTTACTACTTTTCTAAACCTTAAAAGTAAATCAACATGCAAACAACTATACTGGATTAAGGAAATACCCTCAAGAATACTCACTTTATTCCAAGATAGTGTCTCCAAACCAGCTTTCAGACAGACAGTAACAATTACATACTGTGCACGGAGATGAGAAGGGGAAACAGATTGGAAAAATGTATTAAAATTTCCACTAGAATCCATGTTACCTCACTCCCTCCCTGATTCCTCCCATCCATTCCTGTTCTCCATGTCCAGTGAATTCTGGTTTCATAGGTTTTGCTAGGTTTTAATTGAGGACAGAATGTAGTACTTTTCAATAAATGTTTCGTATTTAGAAGCCCTTTTAACATGACAAAAATCATGTTTATATCATATATATATTTATATTTTTTATAAATAGCACGGAAAATTTCTTTCTCATTAGAAATCCAAGTGCTATTGATAAAAAGCACAGTTGAACAGGGTAGATTGAAATCATCATAAAGAACATTTTGGCTATTCTTGGCCTTTTGCATTTCATATATACATATTTTAGAAATAGCCCGTCAGGCACTTGGGGCTTTTGACTGGGATTATAATGAATCTATAAATCAATTTGAGGAGAGCTGACTTCCTCATAGTATTGAGTATTCCAACTAATGAGCATGGTATATTTCTCCATTTAGATGTTCTTAATGTCTCCAATAAAGTCTTCTAATTTTCCTCAGAGGTCTTGGACATCATTTTTTAAATTTGTTTATGTTTTTCCTTTGTTGGATACTATGGTAAAATAGTATATAAATTTTTTTATTTTCTAAATATTTGCTGCTGGTATGTTGAAATATAATTGGTTTTTTAAAACATTGGCCAATATCCAGCAAATTGCCAACCTCTTTTATTAATTGTGATATTTTATTTGTAGAATTTTTTGTATTTTTTGTGTACACTTGTATCACCTCTGATTTAAAACCAATTTTTCCCCTTGCTAAGACTTGTGCTCCTTTTCTCATCTTCTTATTGTGTTGGTTAGTAACTCCTCCACAGTGTTGGAGAGAGGCGGTAATACTGAGCAACTTTCTTAATCTCAAAAAAAAAAAAAAAAAAGCCCTAAGTGTTTCATTAAGTATGATTTTGTCACAGTGTGGGTTCCTGTGCAACAGATGTGTGACGTACACTGAGTGTTTAAAGTCCTACTTTTGAAGCAGACTTTATGTCCACTCCCTAGCTCTAGATTCAGCATCCCAGCTAGCCTCCATCATCTCATCTAAACTATTCCAAAACCTTAAAGGTGCCCAAGCACTGGCCTCTACCTACTGCTCCAAGTTCATCTTCGCCATTATCCTGAACCTCCCTTGCCCAACACACGTTCACACTGTGCTCTAGTTCCATTGGCCTTCTTTAATTCTCTGAAAGCATTAGGGTGGACTCTACCTCCCTGGAGGTTTACTGTATTCCTCCAGGCACTATCTTTGGGCCTAGTACTTCCTCAAACCCACTGGCACTGGGAACAGTGTATCATGAAGGCTGAGTTAATGACCTCACCATGCTGACCCTGCCAACTCTACCATCTCTCCTTTGGCATCTCATATTTAGCATTGGTCTAGTCCCCTTTCCTTCTTTAATTGCTACGCTAAATTTATTTTGCTATAATTTGTTGGTGGTGGTTTTACTATCTATACTTTTTTTTTGCCTTGGGAGATAGAGATTCCATGAGATCAATTTACTCTGGCATCTTAAGGACTATCTTGTACCTTTGTATATATGCATGCATGTCTGTATGTGAGGAGGTCCGAAAAGAAAGAAATTTGCTGTATGAGTATGTCCAAATAAATAAGACACTACTATCTAACCACATTTGATGTTTAGGACTATATAATATAGAGTTAAAAGCCACACCCAATAACATGAAATAATAAAGACAACCAGCTAAAGTGAAAAGAGGCAATTTGCCAATAAATTGCTTCTTACATAGAAGAAAACATGAGGAAAAATGGTTTGTAGTTTTCTTGTTCCAACATATGTTGTTAAAAGGAATAACATGCAGAGGGATATGTTTCTACTTGCATACAAAAGGGATAACATACAGTTAAATACACATCTATAATTTTAGGAATTATGAGTTAAATTAGTGGCAGACACAAAACTCAGAAGCCATAAAGCAAAATATCAATAAATTTAACTACAGAAAACTAATCGGAAGAATATATGTGTGACAAAAATGCCATGAAAAGTGAAAATGTAAAACAGAATATATTTTTGTAACAAATGTGAGAAAAAAAATTAACATCCTTAACATATAAATATCTACTACTAATAATAAAAAGACCAACAAAATAATAGGACTGCTAAAGTAATTCAATAAGCCTTCACAAAAGAAGAAATGAAAGTGGTTTTTCATGAAAATATGCTTTTCTTCAAGGCAAAAACTGTGATAGAATACCATTTTACCTACTAGATCAAAAAGTGTGATAAGACTAACACCCATAGGGGCTTAGGGAAACTGATATTCTTATAACTAGTTGTTATAAGAAGAACCTCTCTAGGGGATAATTTAGTAATGATTTTCAAAATTCACAATACTCTCTGATCCAGCAATTACACTTCTAGAAATTTATCCTACAGATATACTTACTCATGGGCATAAAGGATAATCTTTGCAGCATTGTTGGCAATGGCAAAGGACCCCAAACAATCTCAAGGTCCACTAATAGGAGACTGGCTAAATAAATAGTGGTGAGTTAGTCATATAAGCAGACCTGAAAGAATGAAATAGATATTTATGGGCTGGCTTGAAGCCATCACCAAGGCATATTGTATAGTGAAAAAACAAGATATAGAAGGCACCTCCCTACCTGTACAAAAAAGGGAGGACATATACATTTGTTAAATGTATTTCATATTTCTAGAAATTATACATATACTCCCACACATATACACACATGCATATGCAACCACTGTAATAGTTCCTTTTTGGAAAAGGTATTGGAGCATGAGGCAGAATTAAAATTTATGAAATTCTTATAATGCTTGAATTTTTCAATTAAAAACTAGAAAAAGTGATTGAATCATATGGGTGATCTTACCGTATAAATAAAATTTCCAAGAAACAAATAGTCTGTAGTGTGACCCCCTTGTAAGACCATATCTGAAAAATGGAAAAAGTCATTTTTTTATCTTTATAGAGTCTGAAACATAGATTTGAATTTATTTTTATCAAAGGAACCCATACTGGCCACCAAAAATGTTTCTCAATAATTGGTCATATTTCTAAAGTGACAACAATGCTTGCTTTGCCTGTCACAATTGTGACATTTTTCTATTTCTTACTCTCTCCAAAGACATACTGAGCAAAAAATGAGTAAATAAATTACAAGGAGTACATGAATGTGATTATGAAACCTAGTTTTACATGCATATAAACCATCTGGCAAATTGAAAGCCCAAACAATCTCGTGAGTGATGCTAGGAAACAAGGTTAGGATTCTAAGCATTTTAAAATCACACTTTTCACTCTTTTTCTTTTCCAGGATTACTAAAATAATCAACCTAACAGATAATTTAAATTTACAATGGAATTTCATATTCTCTTATTGCTAAGTCTGCTATAACTTATGAATTTCATTCTGTATAAAGGGTGAAAACTATCTCAAGATTAGGATGATTTTTTCACTTATTTTCACTTTTTAAAATTCTCAAATATATACTTGTGCTTCTGGTCCTGGTTGATATGGAAATGTGGGGGTGCAAATTCCTGATCCTAATACCAATTCAGAAGCTCACATATTCCATTTTCTCTTGATTTAGAACCCACTAAAATACACAAAGCTCATACTCTTTCTTAAACTTATCTGCAGTGGAATATTAAGGCATCTCATTGCCAGAAACTGTAGGTAAATATGTGGGCCAGGTTAGACCAGCTAGGGAAGTGACAATCAAGAGCCTGAATTGTGTACAGACTTAACTTGCTGAGTTTTAACGGGAACAGAGTGATAGTATAGATGAGAACAATCTTGCAATTGACTAGAAACAGGGAGAAAACTGCTTAGAAAGCCCATAGTAGTGAGTTATGTTGTCCAGATGCATATTCTCAAAGGGAAGAGAGAAATTATAAGCTTTGTTGGGACAAAAGGGAAACTTCCAGTTTGCACATGGTGATGTGAAACAAATTCTTTTCCTTCCGGATATTGTGCAAAATCAATGGTGCAAACAGAGAAAACCTCCACAGAATCTATGTCAGGGAAACTCTGAGACAAAAAATCCACAGTCTCAGAAAGCTAATGAGGGCTTCCAAGCAGCTAAGGTGAGCAGAAACTATGCTTGGTGATGATAAAAGCACCAGGGCAAAGGAAATACCAAGCTGGCTGATGGTAGCAGACCTCAGAAATATCAGCAAAAATACTCTCCTTGAAAGAACCTTCCTCCAGTAGCTGGGAAATAAAAATCTAATTTCTTGAGGAATAATATAAAAGGCACAGCATCCATAAAAACAGACTATAGGAAAAAAGGCAGGGTATTCTATTCTATGTGATTTGTGTGGTTACTGTTCACTACACTATAAATTTGCCTAATGTATGTGTTTGAAATTGGTTTGAAATCAGGGGCTCCTGGGTGGCCCAGTCAGTTTAGCATCCCACTGTTGATTTCAGCTCAGGTTATGATCTCAGGGTCGTGAGATGGAGCCCCACATTGGGCTTTGCACTCAGCACAGAGTCTGCCTGAGATTCTCTCTCTCCCTCTCCCCCTGCCTCTCCCCCATCCATGCTATAAATAAATAAATAAATAAAATCTTTAAACTGAAAAAAAATTGGTTGAAAGCAAATTAAAAGAAGAGCACCAAAACTTATAAAGTATACTCACCAAGGGATTAAAAAAAAAAACTATTACAACTAGCCAACAAAGAAATGATTGGAGAAGTCAGAGCAAAAAGACTTATTGTGAGCATTTTATATATTTAACTATAGAATTAAAATAAAGCAAAAACAAAAAATACGGTGCTAAAACGATCAATCTGATTATAATTATTCAATGCCAGACACTGTGGGAATGATGCAATTTATATAAGATCCAGGGATACAGGTTATTTAGATGGGAAGTAGAGTAAGTTTGCAGATTTTCTCATCTATAATTGGGAGTCTAAAAAATATTCAAAGCTAACAAGTAATGGAATTACAAGTTTATGTAAAGTATACAAGTATGCCATGTTCAAGATAATGGGTTGCTAGAGGGAAGGGAGATGGAAAGATGGGAAACATAATTTTATCATACTTGGAAACCAATGGATTTGTCCAAAGAAACAGCACTGTCTATATAAACTTATAATAAAAATAAGCATAAAGAAAAAAATTCAAACCTTCTTGGATACCACAAGGCAACACACAAAAAACCCACAAAGAAAGCCAGGCACATAAAGATTAGAAAAGTATATTAAAACAGGAAATGCAAAGTCAAATGAGATATTGCAAACAAAAACCCATTTTTTAAAAAATGACTCTCCAATTGTGTCTCAAAAACAAAACCCAATTCTATGCTGTATACAAGCAACAGACCTAAAAAAAAGTAATTCATAAAGTTTGAAAAGTAAATTACAGGCATGGAAAATACAAATTCAAAGCACAAAAATGATATTAATATTAAGAAATCGAGGCTGAAAAGAACGAAGCCAGACAAAGAAGAGAACTTTGTAATGCCAAATGGTACAGGTTGCAATGAATATGAAACAACTAGAAATACTGGTGCAACAAATAACATACATTTCTAAACTATAAATTATGAGAAATTAAAAGGGAAACAAATATGTTAGTAGTAGTAGACTTTACCTTACCTTTCTCAGTACATGACAGACTAGTGACAAAAGAAAAAAAATTAGAAAGATCAGGACTTTTTCTTTTACCTATGAAGAAGCAACAGTAATTTTCCTCTTGCTATAATCAATTAGAAAGTTGAACAAAACATATGAAATATTTTTTTCAGACACTGGCTAAAAAGCACAGGGTTGTGATCCCTGAGAGAAGGGTAAACAATTAGGTGAGACCTACCACTGCCCTTGCTTCATACTTGGAGGCAATTTCTGGTGATGAGAAAGAGATTGGACTTTAGACAGGCCAAGATGGCTGGAATTTGCAGAAGTGAACACTGGAAATGAGAGAACAATGCTGAGAATGAGCTCCAGAAAGTCACATGGGATCTTCATAAGTGGCTGAATGCCAATCTGCATACGTGTACTGAGAAATTTCACAAGGTCACCAACAAGCAATTACTGTGGAAAACCAAATTACCACAGAACTGCAAGTTGAAAATTGCCAGATCTAATATAAAGCTAGGGTTTACTCAAATTTCCATGGGCCAAAATAAAGAGACATCATTAATATATGAAGCATTCAGTAGACACCCAAGAAGAGAGAACCTTTGTAGAGGAACTAAATTACTTCTATAGTAAAAGATACTCTACAAGACTCAAGAAAAACAGATCTTAGAAGGATCAAACTGTTCATAGGGAATGTAACTGCTGGCCAAAACAAAGTCAATATTTAAATGTATACCACAAAAAAACATTCAGCAGCATAAAATTCACAATGCCCAGTCTCCATTATAAAATTATGATATATGAAGAAGCAAAATTTTGACCCATAGCAGGGGAAAATTGGTAATAGAACCAACACAGAAATAACAGACATGTTGGAATTAGCAGAAAAATCTCTAAGATAGCTATTATAAGTATCACAATTACACTCAGGCATTTGAAAAAAAAAAGAGAAAGGAAAGAGGTAAAGAAGAACTAATTAGAATTTCTAGAGATGAAGAGTATTAACATATGGAAGGAAAATGTCACTGGTTTGATATTACCTTCAGAGAGACTGTTAAATAAAAGATCAGTGAACTTAAAGACATGGCAAAAGAAACTAAAAATGAACCAAAAGAGAAAACAAAGATGGTATAAATGAACAGAGAGGTGGGAAAATATCAAAAGTGTCAACAGATGTGTAGTTGGAGTCCCAGAAGAGAGGAAAAAGACATTTATGAAAAAGCTAACATCATGATTAATGGTAAAAAAATTTTTTTTCCTCCTAAGAGGAAAAAAGCAAACATGTCCACACTCACTACTTTGATTTAACATTATTCTGGAGGTTGTAGATTCTGCATCAGTGCAAGAAAAATAAATGAAAGGAAAGGAAGTAAACCTCTCTTTATTCACAGACAACATGGTTTTATATATAGAAAATCCCAATAAAGCAAAAAAAAAAATAGCTACTAGAACAAATAGTGAATTTAGCAAGGACACAGGATGCAAGTTATTGTAAGAAATAAAAGGTATTTCTATATAGTAACATTGAAAAATTGGAAAATAAGATCTAAAAATGCCATTTATAGTAGCATTCAAAACTTGAATACTGATGGATAAGTTTAACAAAAGATGTGCCAAGACTGTACATTAAAAACTCCAAAACATTCCTGAGAGAAATGAAAGACAACTTAAATCATTGGAGAGATATACTATATTTATGAACTGGAAGACTCAATAATGTTAGAAATGTCAATTTTCCAATTCTCCTGATGTTAATCTATAGATTAAATGCAATTGCAATCCAAATCCCAGTATTTTTAATTAGAATTTGAAAAGCTGATTTTTAATAATTTATATTGAAATTCAAAGGACATGGAATAGCCAAATTTTTTTCAGAGAAGTTATACTACCTGGTTCAGGATTTAAATATAAAGTGCAGTTATCAAGACAGTATGGTCCAAAAATAGACATGTTGATCAATGAAATAGACATCTAGATCAGTGAAACAGATTTCAGATATAGATCCATACATACAGTTTCAAAGATGCCAACATAATTTCATGAGAAAAGCATAATCTTTTCAACAAAAGGTACTGTAACAACTGGACATCAATATGCAACAAATAAATCTCAACTTTGACATCAAACCATAAACGAAAATTAAAATAGATTAGAAAACTAAACATAAAACCTAAAAAGAGAAAACTTCTAAAAGAAAACAGCATTAGTCTTTGTAACGTTGGGGTGGGCAAAGATTTCTTAGGACAAAAAGAAAAGCACAGACCATAAAAATGTTTCAGTAAATTGTACTCAAAATTTAATACTTCTGATTTTAATAATATTAATTAGTCAAGGCATAGATT